CATTATATACTTTGCAGTAAATTTAATTCTTTGCATTATACAGTATATTTTATATTTTTGCACAATAGGAATTTAGTTTAATGCACTATACATTTTGCCATATGTTTAATTTGCATTATATTTTTGCATTTTACAGTATATTATATATTATTTACACTACAATAATTCAATTTAATGCAGGGTATAATTTGCAGTAAATTTAATTCTTTGTAATATTTATTATATATTTTAATATTTTTTGCACTATAAAAAAATCAATTTTACGCATTATATACTTTGCAGTGAATTTCATTGTTTGCATTATATATTTTACATATTTTTTTGCACTATAAGAATTCAATTAAACATGATATTGCATATGATTCAATGCACTGAATTTAATTCTTTGTATTATATTTTTGCATTATAAGAATTCAACTTAATGCATTAAATACTTTGCACTAAATTTAATTATTTGCATCATATATATATATATATATATATGAATTGTATTTTGTGCACAATAAGAATTACATTTAATGCATTATAGCTATATTCTGCATTAAATTCATTATAGAAACATGGCATAAAAAGGCTAAGACTGAGAGAAATGAACTGATATCATCGATGTGATCAAATGATGCGTTCACTGATGCATCTGCACTAAACACACACTAAGCAGCTCAGATATCACACACACACACACACACACACACACCGAATCAATGAGACGAGCAGCTGCAGTCACTCTATACCGGCCTGAGATCAAAGATAAACCCTAATCTGAATTTAATATAGCAATAAAAAAATGATGCGATTTAGACACTAAATCCTCCAGAAACTCAGGCTTGCCTTTTAAAGCCACTGTTTTCTCCTCTGCATTTCTTTCTCATCTTGTTTGCATGAAGTTCAGCGTCTCTCAACTTTCTGATGTTCTCAACAGTCAATCCCACAATCCCTCACAGGAGACCGACGCTTACGAAGAACGAGTGAACACCAGCTTCGAAAGCTTCCTCAGATCACGTGTTTTTCAGTCCAGAGTTTGCTTCACTTTACCAGGCGATGCAACACTTTCACCTGCTGCACCAGAACACTACAGTCCAGCCTGACCCGAACGCCCTAGCAACCGCAGAGCAGCGACCTGGCAACCAATCACAATCATGCCAGTGAGTTTCTGCACTGCAAACGTCACTCACAATACCTGCATATAAAGAGCTATTTAGGTTAAAGTGCCCCTAATATGCTTTATTGAATATTTCATGTAGTGTGAAATAGAGCTTTTTGTGAATGTTAAAAGTCTGAAAAGTTTTAAAGTGCAGATCAAAGTGCACGACTAAAGAAGGTCAAAAGAATCGATTCTGAACTGAAACGAGTCGTCAGTAATTCAGTCTATCTTCCTGCTGAACCTGCGTAGGTTTGTAACTAATTTGCATAATGCCCGCCTCTAGTCTTGATTGGCTGAACAGCGTCTCTTAGCTCCGCCCTCAAACACTGTAGTGTATCTGAGACTGGAAGAGTTCGGCTCGTGTTGTTCGTGTCGAGGAGACGCTGTTTTCTGAGATTGATACGGTGAAACCCACGCCATCGTCACTGTTCGTATCACTGTGATCAAGAGCTGAGAGTCAGATATGATAATGAGCGTTTGCTCCCTGACCAATCACAGCAGAGCAGCTCTCAGAGAGGCGGAGCTTAGAGAGACTGAATCTTCAATCAAAGCGTTTCAGACACTGAGAGAAAGAGCTGACGCTGCAGTGGAGATTATGAGAAAATTCGTGTTTTTGACCTTGAATGATGTAGAACTATTGTAGAAGACGCCAAAACAACATTACCGTATTTAAAATAGCACTTTAAATATATGCGCAAGAAAACACATTCTTCAATATTTAAGCCCAATGCGGAAAATGTCAAAACAAATAAAACGTAAAACATAATTTACTTTGATATACTTAATTTTCAAGGACAAATTAATATTAGTTTCAGAGTTTAAACGTCCCTGCAGTGACTTACCGAAGAAGAGAGACAGGAGGCGTCAGGCCTCAGCGCTTCTGTCTGTCTCTCCTCAGGCTGTCTGTCTCTCCAGTCCAGCAACTTGCATTGAAAATCAGTCAAACTATCCCTCCCTCATCTGTCATTCTCACTGTCCTCAGATCAGTTCAGTCTCGCGGGACAATCACTGTCTAATTCTGTCAGACATGAAGGGTCCTCCTCACAGGAGCCAGTGATGCAGGGAAGTTTGCAGCTTCTGTGGACATGTGCAGTGCTCTTCATCATCATCTTCTTCATCACTGGCTTATTGAAAAGGCATTTCGATCCCTCATGAATATGAACATCATGAATATGTCATGCATAATTCGCGCAAGTGGAGCTCCGCGTCCTTCAGCGGGTGTTCCTGCGTCTTCAGTCCGGCTTGCGGTGCTCTCTCCTCGGCCTGCGCTCGCTCGAGTCTCCGCCGTTTCCAGGGTAACGCGTTTCTCATCGTTCGCTCCGCAGCGGGTTCGTAATCATGTCGCCGATGGTGTTGATGCTCTTCATCCCGTTACTCCCGCACCATCGTCTTCATCGAAAATAAATGTGATATATTCAGCGCGACGGGTTTAGACGCGCAGCGCGCGAGTCAGGAATGATCCTGCGTGGGCGGACCGCGCGCGCATCATCCTCCTCATCTTCATCTTCATCTCACACTGGCAAAAGAAATCATGCAGCCCTACAGAGCGTGTCTGACAGACTGAAGCAGAGATCTGCTACTACCCCTACACATGCGCGCGCGCGCGTGCACACACACACACACACACACACACACACACACACTGCGCACTGTTAAAATCTGAACGTCATTAACACACAACCTTGATTCAGTAACATTGAACATTAGAAACTTCGGGCGCGTTAACCGTCCGTCAGGCGCTCTTCATACAGATCGACCCGGGTTCGATTCCCGCGCTGGAAGAGATCGATTGATCTTTATTAATTGAGCAGGTAAAATAAACTCAAGAACATGTCAGATTAACTAATATTAAAAATTAGAAACTTCACCAACTGACATGTTCTTAGTCCGTATTAACTGTTTTTGCTCTTCATATCATAGAGAGAGACCCGGGTTCGATTCCCGCGCTGGACGAGATCGGTGAATTTTTAAATTGAGAAGGTAAAATAAACTCTGTGGCAGAAGATATATTAGTGATATTACTGGCGCAATTAACTACATTAGATTCACTTAAACGGCTGTTCTTCTACATTCAGTGACTAACAAATTTAAAGTCACCATGAAATCGTTTCTCCTATAACATGTGAAGTGATCCATGCTGTCAGGCGCATTCTGTAAATGCTTAGAATGCTTCAAATCAGAATAATTTTTATTTATGTAATTTTTTTTATTAATCCATGAAAGGGCCATCAATATTGTGAATAACACACACCCGCCGCGCTATAAACGAGCTGAACACGGGTCACACACACCCACTCAGAGCCCCGCTAACGATGGTTCAGTCCAGAACGAACCAACCGGCTCACCGTGGGGGAGCTGGCTAGTGGCACAACGACTTACAGTTTCCATGACAACACAAGCCTTCAATCTGTGGATGGCCGTCCTCCATATTAAATAAGAGCGAGAATAAAGCAAAAGGAAAAATAAAGAGAGAGAGAGAGAGTGAAAGATGGTCGGCCAAAGTGCTTTCGCTCCCCCGAGCCATCGGTTAACACACAGTTACAGCGATCTGTAATTATTGTCATGGTTACCAGCAGAATAGTGTGTGTGTGTGTGTGTGTGTGTGTGTGTGTGTGATTCAGCTCCTGAAATACAATCACATGTATCAGTGTTCATCACAGGCAGCATTCATAATCATATACGGTAAGACAGTGTGTGTGTGTGTGTGTGTGTGTGTGTGTGAGAGAGAGAGTTTTGCATATGTTTATGTGTAAATATGTGTGTTTAGGTATGAATATAAATACAGTCAAATAAGGAATATGTAAATGCGGCACCAAGAGCTCCTGCTGTGGACGAACAGGCTTGTATTCACACATAAAACATGTATATTTCTGTACGTTTGGAGACACACTGAAAGCATCTATATATATATACACCCCTTAATATACGAACGACTTGAAGCGCAAATGTTTACGAATCCTTTAACATTCATAGAAAAACAAATAAATAATAATAAATTCACAGACTCTTGCGATGGATAGTATCTTGGGCCTGTCGTTCACATCAAGAACAATAACTATAATCATAAAGGCATGCTATTCTTTTAAAATATTTTGTGAAACAATAAACTATAACTACAAAGTTTTAATAATTGCTCTAATTCTGAGAGAATAGTGAAGTTCACAGCGCACTTAAAACTATAACGACACAGAGGAACGACATCGCTGGAATCACTTTAAAATAAATAAATAAATAAAGCGTCTCTCCAGTGTGTTCATGTTTTTACTCGTGTCTGAACAGAAGAAATGAACCGCCTGGAAGAAGGCGGAGTCTCAGAGCCACACCCACCTATTACATCATCGTCACTGACCAATGGGAGTTCAGAGGTGTTTACCAACCCGAGCGAACTCTTCATACTCCTGAAACGAACTACGCTTTGGCCTGTTTTTTTTTTAAAATGACTTCACACCAGTTCTTTCTTTGATTTCGCTAAATAGCTATCATTCTGGGTGTGAACGGAATGTGTGTGTGTGTGTGTGGGGGGGGGGTGTGTGTGTATGTATGTGTGTAATTGTGTATGTGTGTGTCTGTGTGTGTGTGTGTGTGTGTGTGTGTGTGTGTGTGGCTGAGTGTGTGTGGGTATACAAGTATATGTGTGTGTGTGTGTGTGATTGAGTGTGTTTGTATATAAGTGTGTGTGTGTATATAAGTGTGTGTGTGTGTGTGTGTGCGTGTGTGTGTGTGTGTGTGTGTGAGATAGTATATAAGTGTGTGTGTGTGTGTGTGTGTGTGTGAGATAGTATATAAGTGTGTGAGTGTATATAAGTGTGTGTGTGTGTATATGTGTGTGTGTGTGTGTGTGTGTGTGTGTGTGTACCTGTCTCAGGATGGGGTCTGCTATCTGCAGGTACGCTGACGGTCCTGCGCAGCAGTTTGTGTCGGTGAGAGACGTGACGGTGATCATTCATCAGCAATGGATGAACCTGACAACACAAACAAAAAAACACATTTATCATACAACTCCTCATCTACTGTATATATATATATAGACAATTAATTTTAATGTCTAAAGCACAGGTCACTTTTAGGCGTAAGCTACGCTCCCTCTCCCCCTCCCGTCTCTCCTCATCCACACTTCCTCCCCCTGATCAGCTCTCATCACTTGATACTAACAGTGCAACCAATACTATTTCTCAACCGTAACATCTTGTTTAGACAACTTTGCCCCTCTGCCCCCTGGTTATCTGATGTTCTCCTCAAACATCGTTCTAAACTCAGGGCTGGAGAGAGGAAGTGGCACAAATCGAAAGATCTCGCTGACCTTGGACTGTATCAATCCCTCCTCTCCTCATTCTATGCTAATGTCTCTACTGCTAAAATTACTTACTATCACAACAAAGTTGAAAAAATCTCCTGACTCTCGCAAGCATTTCAAAACCTTCTCCTCTCTTCTTAACCCTCCTCCTCCTTCATCAACCCTAACAGCTGACGATTTTGCCACATTCTTCATAAATAAAACGATCACCATCAGCGCCCAATTCTCCACACCACAAACTGACACACACATCTTAACGGCAAACACACTTTCAGAGGCAGAAGTCTCCAAACTCGTTCTTTCCAATCACCTACTACCTGTCAGCTTGATCCTATCCCCATCCTATTTCTTCTTCAGGTTCACCTGCTCTCACTCATTTCATCAACACCACTCTTCACACTGGAGGGGTGAGGTGTGTAAGACCAACTTCTAGCTACTGGAGTGCCTCAGGGCTCAGTGCTGGGACCGCTTCTCTTCTCCATCTACATGTCATCACTAGGATCTGTGATTCAGAAACATGGTTTTCCCATCACTGTTATCATCTAGCTACTGGAGTGCCTCAGGGCTCAGTGCTGGGACCGCTTCTCTTCTCCATCTACATGTCATCACTGGGATCTGTGATTCAGAAACATGCTTTTCCCATCGCTGTTATCATCTAGCTACTGGAGTGCCTCAGGGCTCAGTGCTGGGACCGCTTCTCTTCTCCATCTACATGTCATCACTGGGATCTGTGATTCAGAAACATGGTTTTCCCATCACTGTTATCATCTAGCTACTGGAGTGCCTCAGGGCTCAGTGCTGGGACCGCTTTTCTTCTCCATCTACATGTCATCACTGGGATCTGTGATTCAGAAACATGGTTTTCCCATCACTGTTATCATCTAGCTACTGGAGTGCCTCAGGGCTCAGTGCTGGGACCGCTTCTCTTCTCCATCTACATGTCATCACTGGGATCTGTGATTCAGAAACATGGTTTCTCCCATCACTGTTATCATCTATCTACTGGAGTGCCTCAGGGCTCAGTGCTGGGACCGCTTCTCTTCTCCATCTACATGTCATCACTGGGATCTGGGATTCAGAAACATGGTTTTCCCATCACTGTTATCATCTAGCTACTGGAGTGCCTCAGGGCTCAGTGCTGGGACCGCTTCTCTTCTCCATCTACATGTCATCACAAGTGTCTGTCATTCAGAAACATGGTTTATCCCATCACTGTTATCATCTAGCTACTGGAGTGCCTCAGGGCTCAGTGATGGGGCCGCTTCTCTTCTCCATCTACATGTCATCACTAGGATCTGTGATTCAGAAACATGGTTTTCCCATCACTGTCATCATCTAGCTACTGGAGTGCCTCAGGGCTCAGTGCTGGGACCGCTTCTCTTCTCCATCTACATGTCATCACTGGGATCTGTGATTCAGAAACATGCTTTTCCCATCGCTGTTATCATCTAGCTACTGGAGTGCCTCAGGGCTCAGTGCTGGGACCGCTTCTCTTCTCCATCTACATGTCATCACTGGGATCTGTGATTCAGAAACATGGTTTTCCCATCACTGTTATCATCTAGCTACTGGAGTGCCTCAGGGCTCAGTGCTGGGACCGCTTCTCTTCTCCATCTACATGTCATCACAAGTGTCTGTCATTCAGAAACATGGTTTATCCCATCACTGTTATCATCTAGCTACTGGAGTGCCTCAGGGCTCAGTGATGGGGCCGCTTCTCTTCTCCATCTACATGTCATCACTAGGATCTGTGATTCAGAAACATGGTTTTCCCATCACTGTCATCATCTAGCTACTGGAGTGCCTCAGGGCTCAGTGCTGGGACCGCTTCTCTTCTCCATCTACATGTCATCACTGGGATCTGTCATTCAGAAACATGGTTTCCCCGTCACTGTTATCATCTAGCTACTGGAGTGCCTCAGGGCTCAGTGATGGGGCCGCTTCTCTTCTCCATCTACATATCATCACTGGGATCTGTCATTCAGAAACATGGTGTCCCCGTCACTGTTATCAACTAGCTACTGGAGTGCCTCAGGGCTCAGTGATGGGGCCGCTTCTCTTCTCCATCTACACGTCATCACTAGGATCTGTGATTCAGAAACATGGTTTTCCCATCACTGTTATCATCTAGCTACTGGAGTGCCTCAGGGCTCAGTGCTGGGACCGCTTCTCTTCTCCATCTACATGTCATCACTGGGATCTGTCATTCAGAAACATGGTTTCCCCGTCACTGTTATCATCTAGCTACTGGAATGCCTCAGGGCTCAGTGCTGGGACCGCTTCTCTTCTCCATCTACATGTCATCACTGGGATCTGTCATTCAGAAACATGGTTTCCCCGTCACTGTTATCATCTAGCTACTGGAGTGCCTCAGGGCTCAGTGATGGGGCCGCTTCTCTTCTCCATCTACATATCATCACTGGGATCTGTCATTCAGAAACATGGTGTCCCCGTCACTGTTATCAACTAGCTACTGGAGTGCCTCAGGGCTCAGTGATGGGACCGCTTCTCTTCTCCATCTACATGTCATCACTAGGACCTGTCATTCAGAAACATGGTTTCTCCCATCACTGTTATCATCTAGCTACTGGAGTGCCTCAGGGCTAAGTGCTGGGACCCCATCTGTTCTCCATCTACATGTCATCACTAGGATCTGTGATTCAGAAACATGGTTTTCCCATCACTGTTATCATCTAGCTACTGGAGTGCCTCAGGGCTCAGTGCTGGGACTGCTTCTCTTCTCCATCTACATGTCATCACTAGGATCTGTGATTCAGAAACATGGTTTTCCCATCACTGTTATCATCTAGCTACTGGAGTGCCTCAGGGCTCAGTGCTGGGGCCGCTTCTGTTCTCCATCTACATGTCATCACTAGGATCTGTGATTCAGAAACATGGTTTTCCCATCACTGTTATCATCTAGCTACTGTAGTGCCTCAGGGCTCAGTGCTGGGGCCGCTTCTCTTCTCCATCTACATGTCTTCACTAGGATCTGTGATTCAGAAACATGGTTTTCCCATCACTGTTATCATCTAGCTACTGGAGTGCCTCAGGGCTCAGTGCTGGGGCAGCTTCTCTTCTCCATCTACATGTCATCACTGGGATCTGTGATTCAGAAACATGGTTTCCCCGTCACTGTTATCATCTAGCTACTGGAGTGCCTCAGGGCTCAGTGCTGGGACCGCTTCTCTTCTCCATCTACATGTCATCACTAGGATCTGTGATTCAGAAACATGGTTTATCCCATCACTGTTATCATCTAGCTACTGGAGTGCCTCAGGCCTCAGTGCTGGGACCGCTTCTCTTCTCCATCTACATGTCATCACTAGGATCTGTGATTCAGAAACATGGTTTCCCCGTCACTGTTATCATCTAGCTACTGGAGTGCCTCAGGGCTCAGTGCTGGGACCGCTTCTGGTATCCATCTACATATCTTCACTAGGATCTGTGATTCAGAAACATGGGTTCTCCCATCACTGTTATCATCTAGCTACTGGAGGGCCTCAGGGCTCAGTGATGGGACCGCTTCTCTTCTCCATCTACATGTCATCACTAGGATCTGAGATTCAGAAACATGCTTTTCCCATCACTGTTATCATCTAGCTACTGGAGGGCCTCAGGGCTCAGTGATGGGACCGCTTCTCTTCTCCATCTACATGTCATCACTAGGATCTGAGATTCAGAAACATGCTTTTCCCATCACTGTTATCATCTAGCAACTGGAGGGCCTCAGGGCTCAGTGATGGGACCGCTTCTCTTCTCCATCTACATGTCATCACTAGGATCTGAGATTCAGAAACATGGTTTTCCCATCACTGTTATCATCTAGCTACTGGAGTGCCTCAGGGCTCAGTGCTGGGGCCGCTTCTGTTCTCCATCTACATGACATCACTAGGATCTGTGATTCAGAAACATGGTTTATCCCATCACTGTTATCATCTAGCTACTGGAGTGCCTCAGGGCTCAGTGCTGGGGCCGCTTCTGTTCTCCATCTACATGACATCACTAGGACCTGTGATTCAGAAACATGGTTTTCCCATCACTGTTATCATCTAGCTACTGGAGTGCCTCAGGGCTCAGTGCTGGGGCCGCTTCTGTTCTCCATCTACATGACATCACTAGGATCTGTGATTCAGAAACATGGTTTATCCCATCACTGTTATCATCTAGCTACTGGAGTGCCTCGGGGCTCAGTGCTGGGGCCGCTTCTGTTCTCCATCTACATATCATCACTGGGATCTGTCATTCAGAAACATGGTTTATCCCATCACTGTTATCATCTAGCTACTGGAGTGCCTCGGGGCTCAGTGCTGGGGCCGCTTCTGTTCTCCATCTACATATCATCACTGGGATCTGTCATTCAGAAACATGGTGTCCCCGTCACTGTTATCAACTAGCTACTGGAGTGCCTCAGGGCTCAGTGATGGGACCGCTTCTCTTCTCCATCTACATGTCATCACTAGGATCTGTCATTCAGAAACATGGTTTCTCCCATCACTGTTATCATCTAGCTACTGGAGTGCCTCAGGGCTAAGTGCTGGGACCCTTTCTGTTCTCCATCTACATGTCATCACTAGGATCTGTGATTCAGAAACATGGTTTTCCCATCACTGTTATCATCTAGCTACTGGAGTGCCTCAGGGCTCAGTGCTGGGACTGCTTCTCTTC